AGGATCAAAGTAAGACCTGGCCAAGAGGTTCTCCAGATGAATGTACCGCTCGGGCTGGGTCTGTCTTAACATCCTCATGGGGTCAGTCTGTCTCAAAACTGACCTGGCGGCACCCAATTCTCGGAGTTCTATCAGTTCTAGAACAACCTGCTCGTAGAGGTCCATGAGGGTTTTGTCTGGCAATTTCAGAGACTGTATAGCCTGTAAGACAGTATCCCAACGGCCACTATGAATGTCAGCCACGAAACTCTCGATGCTGTCCACTGTATTCAGAGAGACGGCAGCCTCCTCTTGTAAGGTAGCCAAGGCCCGATGTAAACCGTTCTCTTTCAGGTACTGCAGGATCAGACGGATCACATCGGAAGACTCGATTTCCATGGACATCTCGGTATCCTTCCCAAACAGGCCTGGCTTCCTTCTTAGCTGCTGCCGAGTGCAAGTCCCCGATTGTCCTCTTAGAAAGTGCCCAGTCTTGTGTTGATGGTCGGAAGGAACTTACCCCCAGAAGACCAAGCAGACAGTGTCCCTGGAGAGAGGTTTATCTTCAGCAGAGCTGACAAGGCCACAATTCCACGACGGGAAAAGGAGAATGGCTCCAGTTTGCCTTTGACTCCTATTTATACAGTGCTGGGCAGGAGGTGGGAGCTGCCCCACCTGCCCCACCTGCCCCAAAGATAAAGTCATCAAGGGCCCAGCTTAGGTCTGGGAGGGGCCTTTTATTGACTTAGAAAACTACTTGCAACAGAGGCCAGGAGAAGTCCTTCACCCTCTTTCTGTCCCATCCTAGGATAAACTGATTCTGGAAGAGTAAACACTGATGGAGCCACCAGAACTTGCGGGCACACAATTTGACGCTAAACCAGAGTCCTTTATAGAGAAGGGAATATTTGCTTCAATTATGTTGAGTATGAGACTCTAACTAGAACTAGGTATCAATTTGAGACTGATACACTTAAATAACTGGTATTGACAGAAGTTGACATCCAAAGGTAGAGGCTGCTGATAAAACTCAGACTAGTTTCTCAAAATGATAAGAATGCAAAGACACAAGAATGTTACTGACTCTGCTCACAGAGGTGAGTTTATCCTTGGCTCATTGTCACATTATAAACCTAGGAGATTCAAAGTCCTCAGTGCTCCTGCAGGAAACACTGGAAAGGCAAGTCTTGCCTAGTGATGGTTTTGATTCTAATTAGATATGTATTGATGAAAGCAGAGTAAAACTCATGATCCAAAGGCACAAAAAGGTGGAATATCAATAGGTGATGTGCTGTGAATCTGTACGTCCTGAACCAACTATTAACAGTAACTCAGACCAATCTGAAGGAAAAGCCAACAGGAGAAAGTATTGTATAAAGAAAGCATGCCTTGAGCAGCACCACATGCACACAGAGAAACACAGAATTTAAATCAATCAGAAAGCTGTCGCTAAAGCATTAGGGTGGGGCCTACTATGTCTCCACTTTGAACATAAACCTGATTAAGCATCAGATCAACCATGCTTTCCTTTTTTACATTCTTACATACCACAGTATTACAATTTGTAACCTAACAGACCTAGGAAGCTGACTGTGACATTAAAGAAGTATTTTTGGAAAAGTGACCATGAATATCCATGGAACTTGTTTGACCTCATTAGAGCAGAAGGGTTAATGTGTCCAGTTCAGGCTCAGTCCAGAGCTGTGGCTGCTACAGAGGGGCACAGGCTGAAGCTGGGTACAGATCCTGCGCTTGGTAAATTTCTTTCATGCCAGCTGGATCCCTAGTTGGGGCAGCTATCCTCTGCAGGTTTATTTTCCCTGTCTAAAGGTCCCCATTAGTCAGAAGTCGGGTATTCCGAGAGAGCTGGCCATGCTGACCTTCCTGTGTTCAGTCTTCACGCTGCTCTGTGCTACAACAGGGGCAGAGCCTGTGGGCTACATTGCTGGCTCCCTTGAAAGCTACTGTGCAGTGGGTCTGGCTAGGAAAGTGCAATGTTGGAAGCTATTTGGGTACTTGAACTTGACGTGGCATCTTGCACCTGGATGGGATGGGTATTAGTGTCTCTTCAGACCTGCTTATCTGTCCAGGGGCATCTTCCTTTTATGGGGTCAGGGGGAGGGGATTCCACATTTCTCCCGGCGGGGATATTACATCCCACTGGAGTCCACCACGCAGAGACAGCCTCATGTAAAAAGATGAATTTATTGGGCAAGTGGCTAGCTGACCTGCCAGGGATGCAGCACAAACTGGGGAGCTGTGACTGTGACCCCAAGCAATCCTCAAGCTGGGGCTTTTAAGGGGTAAGTTGCATAGTTTCATAGACAAGCCAGGCAAGGCAGGTTTGGCACATTTTACTTGGTTGTAGTTATCTGACCTTTAAATTCATTTGTTCTTTATGGTAAATACCATACGCCATAATTGGCATAATTGGGACCACTCTGTGGTGGTCTTTAATTGGTGGTCTTAAGGCCCTGTTACTGAGGCAAGCAAGGTTAACAGAAGCAAAACATAGCCTTGAGTCACAGGATCATAGGCAAAACATAATCTTGACTTGGTCAGTATGATTAATAACTGTCAATGCTATTGACACTATTACAGAAATTATATTTATTATAAGCTCCTGACTAATGCAGCAACTCAGTGCAGCTGGTAAAAAGCCTCAACGTTATCCGCAGCCTTCTGCAAGGCTGCCAGCTTGGTGAACTTGACGGAGGGAGAGATGTTCTTTTGCTTTTTAGCAAGGATTGAGAAGGGACAAAGGCTGACCACTGGCAGCCTTTGTCTGGGGTTTTTCTAACTTGATGCCACTGAATAGCAACTCAGACATTACATTCCTCCTACAAGTGCAGCTCACTGGACTGTCAGTTGCTTCTTTTGGTTCTGTAGCTGCTGACCATTCTAGTCTCTGATGCATCCTCCTTTTCTTCACTACTTGCATTCTACAAATCCTTTCCCTATATAAAATGATTCAAACCAGTTTGAATCCAGCATTCTCCTGGAACTCTGACCAGTATATGGAGAAAGTTCTTAGATTAAGCAGCATATTTTTAACATTTTAACATATTTTTCTCTTCCATACCTGAGAGAAATGGGATCCTCTTGAAATAGATTTCTGGGCATCTTGGATGCCTGTATGAGCTGATACTTTAACTGACTTCCTGGTTCTATGCTGCCAGAGCCATTCTGTTCTCTGTAGAATGCTATGGCTTGGGTCTACCATAGGCACCCTTGTCACTGGGATGTGGGAGTTTTCGGGCCTTTGTTGATAGGGGAGGGGTTATACTGATCTTGGATCTGCTGTAGAGCACTTGTGTACTAGGCTTTGTGCAAAACTAGAAGGCTCTGCTCCTTAGCTGGGGAGTAGCATTTGTAAGTATGTTATCCTCCTGCTCCAATCCAGAGACTTGCCAAAGCATAGGAGTTACAAGGTGTAAGTGCCAGGTGTAAGAACTAGTCGGGGTGGGTTTCCATGCCACAAATCTATGGCTGCAATAAATGCAATGTGGCCATCTTCAATAAAAGCTTACCACTTGTTCATATGCCTGTGGTTTTGAAGGCACCAGCAGGTTGAGCATTTTTGCCATTGATAATGGTGTAGGCCATTGCTGTACACAGGAACTCGATCGTGAGAAACAGAAGCTACCACTTAAAAGACCAAATTGCAAGTCTTCATTGGAGAGTAGGTGGACTGCTGGTGGACTCTTGTCTCAAAGACCATCAGTTCTGAATGCAGCTAACACAAAGCTTATAGAGCCTCCAAAGCACAGCAGTTGTATAGAATTTATCCTAACAAAAGTAGCAACAGCAAAGAAAACCAACAAAGGAAACTTATACCTAATACAGGTATCAAATATAAGCAAAAGCAAATCACATGTGGCCACAAGGGAAATGGAAGACCAATTATCTAAGGAAGTAAGTTTTCTAGAACTTGACACATTTGTAAACCAAAGAATGTACGAATGTCCTTTATCAAGGCATATTGCTTAGACTCAGTCTTCCTTCAGTGATAGTTGTTCAAATCCTAAGGCCATAAGTCTTCTTAGCTTACCGGCTCTGCCATCATCATCTTGTAGAACTTGAAGGTGGTGAAAGGACTCCAAGGTTAAAGGATTACAGTCTCCCTGATAAGGACTGAGGAGTGTATTCTCCTGGGCAATAGTTTCAAAGTACCCAATTCTGATGGTGAGTAAAGACATCATAGCTGGCCCAGAAGCTATGACTTTCAGTTGGCTTAAGTTTGTGATAGTACAATATGGTGAAGAGATTTCATCTCACTTTTGAAGGAGGCATTCTAGTAATTCAGAGGATGGGCACCATGCCATTTTCTTTTGATGTGAATATCATTGGCCTTATTCTTGGCTCTGGGAAGAAAAAATGCTAAGGGGATTCCTCTTGGTATTACTATCCTGATCACTTTTGTTCATTGGGTCAGGGCTGCCCTTTAAGTTCTCAGGGTATACATTCATCCTGATTAGGTACTTGGGGACTAGGAAATGACCAGAGTTCTTCTAGATAAATGTTAGAGCTGCTAGAAGGGCCCTTGTTTCTTGCTACGCACCTTCTTGTCCCCCTCATTCTATCAAGGGGATTACTAGCTTGAGATCCTCTTGACAATGATAGTAGTTCAGATTCTACAGATCTGTTTTCCTTGTATTTTTCTGGTCAGCCAAGGAAATGGGCATAGTTCCCTGTCAGAGGGTGTGGGAATATCGTTGGACATGACAGATCCTTTCATGCATCTGTTTTAATTCATCAGTCTAGGAGATATCAACCAGAGAAGCCTTACAGATAAGAAATTATATAATTATTGGAATGGGCTAAGCTATGTATGTATGTCAACACTGGTGAAACAAGTTTGAAATCACATGTAATTGTGTGAACCTATATAAGCTTCTCCATGTGAAGTTTCTGGCCTACTAACCAGTATGCTTGGTCAGTGGGTCAAATGTCTGTCAGATATCAGTTTCCTGGTTTGGGATTACTGCAGGAAATCTGGACTAGGTTTGTACATATGCAAGGAGAGAATAGATGTTGTGGTTGCATGCAGCATTAACTAGGGGAAAATGAGAATGTCAATCTGGAATGGATGTTATCAATGATTAGCTGCCACCAGAATAGGAGCATCAGTCTTGTTATCCTTACTGGACCAGCGTGAAGATGACTTGATTTAACTTTGAATTCTTCCTTCATTTTCCATGCCTTGCACATACAGGCATCATTGTGCAAACCAGGTATTGATAAACGATTGCTGTATTCAGTGCTATGGATGAGTTCTAGTAGTCTCTTGCCAGTACTTGTGATGTGTTTGTTGCAATAAATCTTGGGCTTAACTTGATGAATGCAGACTGGTTTTAAGTGTGACTCTAAGTGTTTACTTAAATAATTTGTGACTCATCTTTTCT